ATAAAATTTCAATTATTTTTTTAAATTATAGTTTATAAGAAATTAGTACTGACAAAAACGGTTGCATTTAATTTTTTTTGTTTTGTCTTGTCTTTTTTTTGTGCAAATGTTATTCTATTTTATTGTTTTGTTTTGGATTAGATTTTTTGACTTGTCATGTTTTGTTATTTTGTTTTATAACAAATGTCATTTTGTTTAAATTTTATTTATTATATTTTGTTTAATTTTATTTTTAACTGTCATTATTATTATAATTATTTTTTCATTTAAATTGATTTAATAATTTTTTTATTTTTTTTTCGTTTTATTTCTGAGGCTGATCTTATTAGTTAGAAATTACTAATTTATATAAATTGATCCTTTGCATATCTCCATGTAGTTTTGCTACATTTATTTTATTTTATTGTTTGGTATTTAACATGGAAAAAAAATGAAAGGCAAGAATGAAGTAAGGATCTCTGTTTTATATGAAATATTTATATTAAAAATAAAATGTATCAAATTTAAATAATTTTTTTAATTATAGTTTATAAGAAATTAGTACTGACAAAAACTGTTGCATTTAATTTTTTTGTCTTGTCTTTTTTTGCAAATGTTATTCTATTTTATTGTTTTGTTTTGGATTAGATTAGATTTTTTGACTTGTCATGTTTTGTTATTTTGTTTTATAACAAATGTCATTTTGTTTAAATTTTATTTATTATATTTTGTTTAATTTTATTTTTAACTGTCATTATTATTATAATTATTTATTTTATTTAAATTAATTTAAAAAAAAATTGTTTTCGTTTTATTTCTGAGCTGTTTAATCTTGGTTCTGTGTGCAGGTTCATAGGCTGGTGCTTGTGGACAGAGAAGATGTGGTTCGGGGAATAATCTCTCTCTCAGACCTGCTGCAGGCCATAGTTTTATCTCCAGCAGGTATTGATGCCCTGTTTTCCTAACCTGAGAGGAGATGTTTTCTCCTGTTACCTCATCTAACCAGCACTAGTATCCAGGTAGGCTTTACTGCCTTCCCAGCCTAGCTTTGCCAACACATGCACTGCTGCTGCGCATAGTACTAGTCAAAAGTTTGGACACACCAAACTCAGAACAAAAGTAAAATCATCCAAACTATATAATGGAAGTGGAAATGGAATGGAATTATGTAGTGACAAAAAAAATATATATATATATTTTTTTTATTAGAAGTGCATCATGGGATGTTTTACACTCTATTTTATTATTTATTTTGTTTTTCTGTTTTGTATTTTTATTTCAAATGTTATTCTATTTTATTATTTTATTTTTAATCAGATTTGTCATGTTTTGTCATTTTTTTTTATAACGTCAACTTATTTTATTATTTTGTTTCATTCTGGGTTGTATTTATTTATTCATTAATTTATTTTTATTCGTTTTTTTTTTATCTATAAAATTACATACATGGAAGTGTTGTAATCATGCATTGTTAAAAAAATCTGAAAATCCTAAAATAATTTATATTTGTCTAAAAAACACATTTCCAGCATTTAATCATCAAGCATGCGATCATGAGAAACATAGATTCAGCCAGGTGTGTGTAAACCTTTAACTAGTACTGTAAATTACCCCACAGTATGATGTGCCTTTATTAATACAATCAGTATAGTCGTTATTGTATATTACGTCTTCTGTTATGTAAAGCTCCAGCAGCCATGAATCGCAGCCACTCCTAATACATCTCTCTACTTTTAGGTATTCACAACCAGTGAGCAATAACTGAAATCACTTATATGTAATGCTAATGACAGAAAATTGCTGATGACTAGAGTTCTCCCTGCATGTTTGTGCATGTGCGTGACCTGTTTGTTGGTTGTATGAGTATTTGAATGTTTGAGAATACACTGGTGGGTCAGGGACCTTTAACCCCAGTGTGTTTGGGAGCACAGCCACTGTCCTGTCCTGTCCTCTCTGTGCTGATATTGTTGCTGTACTTCAGAGTAGGAATACCATGGTATTATCTAGTTCAGAAAAGCATGGTAATACCATGCTACTTTCTGTAAGTGTATTCTCTTATCCTGTTTCAGGTTTTTAAAGCAGATAAAGTATGACTGCAAGCAAGAATGAGGAAAGGAGCTCTTTTTTACATTATACATTCATATTGTAAAATATGTTCAGTTTGGATTACGTAAAGTGTATAATATATTAAGCAACACATTTCTCATTTAACTGAGAGATTGTTTGGGATAAATGAGTACTGACAAAAGGAAACTGTTGCATTTTGTTTTCATGTAGAAGTGAGCACATGGGCTTGGATTCTGATCAAATTGATCATCTAGTTTGCCTTTTTGTGCTATGTTATGAAATGTATTGTCAGATTACCATGTTTTGTTTTTCTAATAAACAATTCCTTGTGCTCTTTCTTTGCCTGATTGCCTGCTCAACAAATAACCTTGTACAAAAGTTTTAAAAAGCTGCTTATTCTATATATATATATATATATACACATTTTTTACAAATTTTGTTTAATGAATAAAATACAATTTTATTTTAAGGTTACATAAAAATGTCATTAAACATTTCAGTCTGCATAAAATGATAGATAGATAGATTTGTTTAAATAAATGAATATTTAATTACATATTTATTTAAATCTTAATAAAATAAAACAAAACTGCATTATATTTAATGTTATTAAATGTAGTTACACCGAAATAGAGCTTAATATAAATATTTCTATTTCTTTACATCAACTGAAGCCCAGTAAGAGTAATATCCATTCTCTGCTAAAAAATGTTAAAAAATAAATAAATAAATAACATATTAATTAGTGCTGGGCAATGATTAATCGCATCCAAAATAAACGTTTTTGTTTATATAATATATGTGTGTTTATATAATATGTACATGCATGTATATATTTAAGAAAAATATGTTTATATATTAAATATATTAATATGAATAAAATATCATTTTTTTTCTTATGCTCTAAACAATGTCATGACATGAAAAAATGCTAAATTCACAAAACTTTTTTTCCCCTGGTAGTCAGGAGGATATATAATATAAATTATATGAATATAAATAGATGTAAATATTTTCAAAATATATACTGTATGTGTGTCTTTATATATACATAATAAATATACACAGTATACACACATATATGTGACCCTGGGGCACAAAACCTGGACAACTTTAAAGGCGATTTTCTCAATATTTTGATTTTGTTTTTTGCACCCTCAGATTCCAGATTTTCAAATAGTTGTATCTATCCTAACAAACCATACATCAATGGAAAGCTATTTTATGGAAAGCAAATTATTCAGCTTTCTGATGATGTATAAATCTCAATTTAGAAAAAAATCGACCCTTATGACTGGATTTGTGCTCCAGGGTCACATATTATATAAACAAAAACTTTTATTTTGGATGCGATAAATCGTTGCCCAGCACGAAATTGTTAATATAAATATGTCAATAAAAATAAATAATATTGGTTAAATCAAATAAATGTCAAGTTTAATTGTATAAGCGTGTGTTTGTGGCGCAGCCAGCAGATGTCACCCAAGGGCGCAGTAAACAACACTGAGCATGTGACTCTGTGAGAGCCTGTAAAATCCGCGGTGTGTTTCTGTTTTTTCTAATAATCCATGACCAGCCTCTCCTGACCAAACCCCGTCACCAACACACACAAACAACGCTGAACAAGTGAGAATGGCGAGCAGACGGGCCTCGGTGTCCTCGGCGGATCTGGAGGCCTGGTTCCCCGCGCCCGGCGGCGGCGAGGATGCGCCGGAGCTGCGGCGGCTGCGGGAGCGTCTGCGCGGCTGGCTGTCGCAGTGTGAGCCCGCGGTGCTCTGCGCGCAGCGGCTGCTGGTGTGGGAGAGGCCGCTTCACAGCATCATCGCCGCGCTGGCGCTCAACACGCTGTTCTGGTGAGACCCGAGCCAATAAACCTGTTCGTCTGGAAGAGACCGTGTTAATCCTGACCAGTACGTTAGTTAGTTAGTTAGTTAGTAATCTGGTTAATCTGCTCGTTAGTAGCCGCTTCAGGTCGAAGTTCTCCCGCGTTGCTTTTGTGGCAGCTTCGCTACTCTTAGCGAATAATACTCTTAGTATTACTGGTAAGTTACTGTTTTTCGGACATGTGCTATGGTTTTGGATAATACCATGGTGTTCTTGGGCGACCCTGTAAATACCATGGTAATGATAATTTACCGTAGTATACATCGAAATACCATGGTATTACTTTGGATTTTTGGACGTACATACCATAATACTACAATATGATTGCTGTGCCATACCATGACAAAAAGTACTATGGCAGGTAACGTTACAGTCATAGTATCAGACAGAAATACCATGGTACTTTGATATATGCCATAGTACTACTCCATGATTTAAGAATACACTGATATGTTTAAAAACTCAATAGCGTCATGTCCAAAACATGGTCATACCTAGGTACTTTTTTGTAAGGGGTAAATACCATGGTGTATGATTATGTTATGTTTTTGGACATTTCCTGTGGTATTACCATGACATTTTGTAAACAGATCTTGAATTAACACATACATATGTATAATTATTTCACCATAGTATTACTGTCTAAAATCACTGTATTGTGGAACTTCCACAGTTTGTGTGTGTGTGTGTGTGTATAGCATATATATATATATATATAATGTATGGGGTATATATTATTACCATATGATTACTGGCAGTTCATATAGTACGTACAGTCACAGTATCAGACAGTAATACCATGGTACTTTTTGTTTTAAGGGGTAAATACCATGGTATGTGATTTTGGTATGCTATTGGACAAGTACCAGGGTAATACCATGTTTGCTTTGAACATTTCCTGTGGTAGTACCATGAAATTTTGTAAACAGATCTTGAATTGACACATAAATATGTATAATTATTTTACCATAGTTTTACCGTCTAAAATCACTGTATTGTGGAACTGCCACCGTTTGTGTGTATATATACAATACATAGTATATAAAAAAAATATTTCCATAATATTAATAAGTTATTAATGGTTACCATGTTATCATTACCTTTGTTTACAAATAATATCACAGTTACATTTTGGTTAGTACGCAGGAACTGTGGTAATATGTATAATTATTTCACCATAGTATTACTGTCTAAAATCACTGTATTGTGGAACTTCCACAGTTTGTGTGTGTGTGTGTGTATAGCATATATATATATATATAATGTATGGGGTATATATTATTACCATATGATTACTGGCAGTTCATATAGTACGTACAGTCACAGTATCAGACAGTAATACCATGGTACTTTTTGTTTTAAGGGGTAAATACCATGGTATGTGATTTTGGTATGCTATTGGACAAGTACCAGGGTAATACCATGTTTGCTTTGAACATTTCCTGTGGTAGTACCATGAAATTTTGTAAACAGATCTTGAATTGACACATAAATATGTATAATTATTTTACCATAGTTTTACCATCTAAAATCACTGTATTGTGGAACTGCCACCGTTTGTGTGTATATATACTGTATATATGAACATTATATACATAGTATATAAAAAAAAATATTTCCATAATATTAAGAAGTTATTAATGGTTACCATGTTATCATTACCTTTGTTTACAAATAATATCACAGTTACATTTTGGTTAGTACGCAGGAACTGTGGTAAATATCCATATGGAATGTGACAAACATGACTTATTTCTGTCATTTGAATGAGTCATAGGTTGTTTTTGTAATTGGATTAGATGCAGATAGTGATGTTTGAACAGATGCATGTGTGTTTTAGGCTCCTGTCCTCCACATCTTTGAGACCCTTGTTCCTCCTGAGTGTGTCTCTCATTGGACTGACTTTACTGGAGAGATGGAAAGACAAGCTGCCACAGATCACTGGTAGTGCATGCACAGACTATATACTGTACTGTGCATTTGATTCATAGCAACACATACAGTTCATAGGTATACACCATAGGACTGGGCAATATAGCTTATATAACATATTGTGTGTTTTGCAGCATTTTGAGGATACTTCATACGTTACTCAAACGTATTTGCTCTGAAATGTATTTTTCTAAATTTGGTAACACAATTTCAAAACAGTCATGGTTTTTAAGTAGATTTAAAAGGTTTAATATAAGAACTAAAAAGCAGTAAAAATCTAGATACAATTAAGGCATGTTTTGCACACCGTTTTCCACTAAATGTACATAA